GGGGTGGTGGGCCAGGTGTGGGGGTGTCATGGGGGAGGGGTGGTGGGCCAGGTGTGGGGTGTCATGGGGGAGGGTTGGTGGGCCAGGTGTGGGGGTGTCATGGGGGAGGGGGAGCCAGGCTGGATCACGGGATCCTCGGCTCTGAGGATGTGGTGTCCAACACAAGTCATGTGTGTTTTAGTCACACTTTACAGTTATGAGAGGGATCTCTATGTAGAAGCATTAAAGCAGGACTCTTTCTGTCTTCCTCCTGACACACTCTCTTCCGCATTCCCCCAGTGCTGTAGGTTTTAGTGAAGGACCTGCGGTCATATCGAGGGCTTGTCCACATGTGCCCGTGGTCAGTGACTGCTTTTTTCGATGTCCAGAAGTCATTTAATAAAAACAGAATGGGGCCCTCTGCTCAGGTCCAGAAGAAAACAGCAGGGAGAAGAGTCCTGCCACACTTGGGCTGGGACTGGATCAAGAGGCCTTTCAACTAATGGAGACTAAGCGGCCAGAGTAATAATAGGCTCCCTTACCTGCCAATCCACAGAGGTAAGCCCGCCCCCAGTCAAAAGGGATCCTCTATCTGCCAGTTCACAGACACAGGCTGGCAGCGCCCCCAAGGGTGGAGGGACATGTGGGCCGTACCCCGTGAGCAGCCCCCAGACCTCCCCAGCGAACGCCAGGGAAGGCAACATCTCCCAGGAAGCTCTACAAACGAAAAGTAGAGAAAATTACCCGCACTTATTCTCAGGGAGAGCTCAACAGCGATTGCTTAAGTAAGTTATTTAATTTCCTTTTGAACCTGCCTCTCTCTAAAAATATAAGCGGAGAAAATCCATCCATCTCTGAGGAAGACCGGGGTCCTTCAAGGAAGCTCACAGACTGGTTTTGTGTGTTTGCCATAAAACTTGAGAAAATCACACGAAGCAGAGATTGGGATTTTAAAAACCATACTTAGAATAAGCCTTCTGAATATCAGGCAAACCTCTTCTCTAAACTGCTCCTAAAAACCCAGATCTGGGTAGGGAGAGTTGGAAGAAGGAAGAAGGGAAGGGGGAAGACGTTGGGCTAACCACTGTGGAAACTACCCATCTGCCGGAAAGGAGACTTAACACCCATTCCATTTAAAGCATGTCTCTGAGATTCTGTGATCCAATGGTCTGTCTACCAGTTAACCAACACAGGTGCACCTGTCATTTCTCCAATTAGATTAGAAACTTCATGCTGAGAATGATGTGGGTCACGTAAGTCCTCAGAAGTATTTATCGACGTATTGTCTAAAATGACCTGCTTATTCCAGGAAGCAGCTGGGCACGCCACGTCTCCTTTCTCTGAAATGATTTCAGCAGATCTTCCTCTGGCACTGCTGATTAAATGCCCAACTGGTCCTGGCTTCATTACGTCCCCCGCAGGACACTTCAGCTTGATGCAGTTGGCCATTTGGTTCTTCATTTATAGAACTGGACCGTTGAGGAGTCCTAATAACACTTATGTCACTGTAACACATAGCTCGCTGTCACTTTCTTCACAACAAATAGCATTTTCTAAAAACCGGGGTATGATTTTAGGTTCTTAATAGTAACCTGTGGGAATTTGCCTCGCTGCATTTATATTTTAAATCTTGCATTTATTTAAAAAGTTTTCTCATTTATTTTAGTGACATCCTTCCTTAAATTAGGTGTTAGGGTAATAATAAAGCTATTTTACCCATGGGTTATATTTGTTAGCCCTACAGAGCTTTCTCATACATTATTTCATTGTTTTTCTTACCGTGGGCAGGGAGAGTTGAGTATACATATTTTATAGCCATGAGAACAGAGGTACAGAAGGTAAAATGACTTCCTCCAGGGTCACAGAGACAATACACAGCAGATGAGAAGCCTGAAATGCCTGTCCCTGTCCCCAGACCATGGCCAGCCACCCCTGCCCTGCCCAGAGCTGCCCACAACAGCGCCTCAAGACACCTTCTAGAACTCTTCACTCTCAAAGGTTAAAAAAAAATGAACATTTTGTCACCTTGCCAGATTATAAAAATAAATAAAAATACTTGTTGAGGGTTTGGGGGAAAAACGGCCTTCAGCTCCCTCCGCTGCTGAAGAATGAGTTTGTAGGAAGCTTTCCAGGGTAGAGGGAACTGGGGAGTGAGGTAAACAAGGGCTCTCCCTGCTCCCCGAAAGTCACCTGCTGGAGATTTTCTGAAGACAATTGCCTTGCTTGAGATGCACACATGCACGGCTGGGCATGGGGCAGCGGCTGGCAGAGGTGGGGGGGAGCAGGGGGCTCCCAGGAGGCCAGCTGGGAGGGGCACACGCATAGCCCACAGAGCTGTGTCCCAGCCCTGAAATGGCACCTGTGCACCACACCCCGGGCCTGGCACTGGGAACACATCCGGCCGCTGTCCGGGCTTCATCCCTGATGTGGTGAGGGTGGAGATGGGCTGACACTCACAAAACACAGTCCCCCTATGTTCTCCTGGGTGCCACGCTATGAACCAGTCTGGTTGCTTTTAAATACTTGAGACACAGCCAAGTTGCCAGGGAAGAGACTGCTTTCACGAGGAAGAGGAGACAGGAGATACCAACAGAGGAAGAGGAGATACCCACAGAGGAAGAGGAGATACCCACAGAGGAAGAGGAGATACCCACGGAGGAAGGGGAGGTACCCATGGAGGAAGAGGAGATACCGACGGAGGAAGAGGAGATACCCACGGAGGAAGAGGAGGTACCCACGGAGGAAGGGGAGGTACCCACGGAGGAAGGGGAGGTACCCACGGAGGAAG